CGAAAACAACGGGCGGGACAAAAGCAAACCCGCAAAACGACAGAAAAAAGAAAGAAAAGGAAAGAAACGAACAAAAGGAAACTGGCAAAACGACAAAAAAAAAAAGAAACGAAAAAAACGAACAAAAGGGAACCTGTGTATCTCGGGTACTATCTCGGGCCGTCCAAGGCAAGCCCACTCGCGGCGTGAAAAACGCGCGCAGTGTCCGTTGGGCCCGCCTGGCAGTCCCGCCGCGTTTCCCAAGAGTGCGCAGCGGCCTCTCGCGGAAGCGTTACGCGATGACCGCTGTTCGCTTAAAGAGTGTTATGGAAAAGAAAAAAGAATCTGCACCCTGTGGAACAGGAACTGAGCCCTTTTCCCTGAGAAGGAAAAAGCAGGTGTCCGGATCACAATTATCAAGGCATGACATAGGGTGAAAAGAAAAGAAAAGAAAAAGGGAAAAGAAAAAGGGAGATGCGCTAAACACTATGGCCCTCCTAAGAAGTTTGCAATGGCTTCGGTGACACAGGATGAAAGTATCTGCGGCATTCCACAGATCCCACACGGGCCCCACAGGGCAAGCTCACTTGGTGAAAATGGTAAACACGACAGACTTCTACCGTCTTCACCCGAATAGAACGCCCCATTATTATTGCTGCATCTGGACTGAAAGTTGGACCAAATGCAGCTATAATTACTGGGCGTTCTATTCAGGTGAAGACGGTAGGGGTCCTAGGGGTTAGCGGGGTTAGATGCGACCATAGGGTCTGGTAGGGTCGACTACCGGGGTCCGCTTTAGGCCCAACGTCGTTTGCGGCCGAGTTAGGCCGACTGCAGGTTAGCACAGGCCCTGACACATTTTCGATGGGTGCCAAGGCCTTGTGTGGTTTGGGCACCACTCAGTTAGGCGCCAGGTCTGCATTTTCGCGGAGAGACCAGTGTAGGACCGCCAATCGACCTGTAGATCGGGCGGCCTGGATCGAGAGGCCCTGGGCACTCAGTCGGCCTCCTAGCGGACCAGCGCTATATTTAGCTGGTCCGCCCAGTAGTTAGGCAGGTAGTCTTCAGTAGTAGCTGTAGTCGATGCGCTGGGAGCTTTAGTATTCGAGTAGAGCGCTCAGCACTGATAGAGGTTGATGATGACACCAGTGGGAGTAGAGGTTGGCGGAGGCCAGGGAACTTACCTGTTGACTTACCTGCGACGCCATAGCTCCAGCTTCGTCTTCAGCGTGTCCGCACCTGCATCAAGGCGACACCTTTCTGCAGGTTAGTACCT